CTGCTTCTTTCCCTGGCCCTATTTCTTCCCAAAAAGTAATCAGGAGAGTCTACAAGAGGTAGATCATAGCTTTGGAAATGGGATGATTCTTGTGAACGGAGTCTGTATGCTCATTTCAAAAAGACAGAGTCCAGAAGTTGTCTTCACCTAATACCTAGAGGAAAGAAGAGTTTTTGATGCAGAAATTTTTTTTAAGTTCTTTGGAGTACATATTGAATTTCTTTGTGTGTCAAAATCACCTTGAGGAATTTCCCGATAGGTGAATATGTGTAGTTTCTGGAGGGAGTGCCCAGAGAGGGCTTGGAAGCTCTGTGTCCTTTCCCCTACTCATTGTCCTGTGCCTGCCTTCATCTGAAATTAGCCTGAGTCATTATTCTCCAAGTGCTTTAGACAGATGCATAATATTAAACAGGTGAACTTTATACAAGGCGTGAGGTCAGAAGGTACCTGGGGCCTAAGGAGGAGTCCCAGGGCAGGCTGCAGGATGGATCTAGTTGGAGAAGGTGACACAGAGCAAAGGGTGGAGGGGCTTCAAGCCCATTGTGCTAATTGCACCCAAAATCACTCCTCCTATAGCTTCAGGTGCCTTTTATTTGATCATGCTCATACAGCCCTGTGACAGAACTATTCCCTGAGCTCTAGTCCCTGCGCTGAGCAAGCAATGTAATTAAATTTACATTTGAAAGTCAAAGTTACAGATCTTCATTCACTGGTTCAGTCCCCAAATGCCTGCAACAGCCAGAGTGATGCTAGGCCAAATCCAGGAGCCCACATGTAATGAACTTTTATAACAATTGCTTAAATTTAAAAATTCAGATTTTGGGGGCCAACATTATAGCATTGTGAGTAAAGGCATTGCCTGTGATGCAAGCATACTTAGGGGTGCCAGTTTGGGTCCTGGCTGCTCCACTTCTGATCCAGCTCCCTGCTAGTGACTTGGGAAAAGCAGAGGAAGATGACCCAAGTACTTGGGCTTCTGCCACCCACATGGGAGACCCAGCTGAGGGTCCTGGCTTTGTCCTGGCCCAGTCCTGGCCATTATAAACTTTTGGGGAGTGAACCAGTGGATAGAAGATCTCTGTTTCTCCCTCTCTGTAACTTGGACTGTAAAATACAGCTTTTACAAAAAAATTCAGATCCTCAATTGCAAAAATAAACAATCACGTAGAGGGCTAAATAGATATGCCTGAGCCTACCACCAGTTTGATTAAATAGATCTTCGGTGGGGCCTGATAATTTGCATTGTTGAACAATCCCCGGGTGATGCTGATGCTGCTTATTTGGGTATCACATTTTAATAAACCCTGGCTCTGACAGCCGTGGCAAACCACATATGGTTTTTCCCCGTCTCCACAACACCCTCTGCCTCAAATGACCTTCCCTCTTTCTCTTGAAATCTGGTTTCAAAAGCTTGGCTGCTGTATGACTTCTTGAAATATCAGGAGGACTTCCGGTCTGTTTGCATTGCCCTCTACCCATACTTGTTCCATAGCCCCTCCCATAGCCTTCTTCAGGTTGACAGCCTTAGTGGACATGGGGAACAGCTCCTAGTAGATTCTAAGTTCGTCATGGCAGGTCTTCCTCATCTTTACTCTGGACACCCTTGAGGTGCTGGCCTGGGGGAGGAACTCCATGCAATTGTGCTGGATTAAATCCTCCAAATGAACCCAGTCTCCCCATCCTGCCCAACTCCCAGTCTCTGAGTGTAGACATGGATGTGCATGGTGGAGTGTGTACCACACACCCTTGAACTAATGAAGGGGAAGGGAACTCCCTGACAATAACACAAGTTGATTCTCTCCTGTTTGTAAGTAGAATTTTTTTTAAAGATTTATTTTATTTATTTGAAAGAGTTACACAGAGAGAGAGAGGAGAGGCAGAGAGTGAGAGAAGCCTTCCATCCTATGGTTCACTCCCCAATTGGCTGCAACAGCCAGAGCTGTGCTGATCCGAAGCCAGGAGCCAGGAGCTTCTTCCAGGTCTCCCACGCGGATGCAGGGGCCCAAGGAGTTGGGCCATCTTCTACTGCCTTCCCAGGCCATAGCAGAGAGCTGGATTGGAAGAGGAGCAGCCAGGACTACAACGGGTGCCCATATGGAATGCTGGCGCTTCAGGCCAGGGCATTAACCCGCTGCGCCACAGCATCGGCCCCAGTTGAATGTTTTTATAACCTCAAATCTAGCTGTCTTTTCTTTATGGCTTAGTTTTCTCAGAAGTGGCTTCTCTGAAGATTATTGGAATTCGTGCCTACCCTATTTTGCAGCTTTCATAGTTTTAGTGTTTTTGTTTTCTAAGATTTATTTGGAAGGCAGAGTGACAGGAAGAGACAGATCTTCCATCCATTAGTTCACTCCCCAGATTTCCCCAACAGCCAGGTCTGGGCTGGACAAAGCCAGGAGTTAAGAGCTCCACCTGAGTCTTCCCCACAATGGCAGGGGCCCAAGTACTCCATCTTCTGCTTCCTTCCTGGGCATGTCAGCAGGGAGCTGATCAGAAGCAGAGCAGCTGAGACTCGAACCTTCGTTCCAGTATGTGATGCTGGTATCACAAGTGGAGGCTTAACCTGCTGTGCCACAATGCCAGGCCCTAGTTTCAGGTTTTCTAATCTGGTATTAAAAATGAATTAAAGGGTTAAATTTAAGAGTAATAGGAAGCAGTTTGCTTTATCATTTTTCCAAGTAGTTCATCAAGCGTCGTTCAGTGACTCATTCTCTTTTCCCCCAGGATCTGAACTGCCAGCTCGATTATATTTGAAACATGTCAACATGCTTTTAACAGTATTTTGCTTTTTTATGTTTATTTGAAAGGCAGTGATAAGGTGAGAGGGTTGAGGAGGGAGACAGAGCTCTTGCACCTGCTGGTTCACTTCTCAAATGATTACAGTAGTCAGGGCTGGGCCAGACTGAAGCCAGGAGCCTAGATCTCCATCTGGGTATCCCACATAGATGGCAGGGACCCAAGTACTGTAGCCATCACCTGCTGCCTACCAGGGTGTGCATTAGCTGAAAGCTCGATCAGGAGTGGGGCTGGGATTCCAATCCAGGCCCTACCTGTGGGTGTGGGCTTCCTGAGCAGCATCTTAATCACTTGTGTCAAACACTCACTCACATATTTTGCTTTTGAAAATAAATACTCTTTTGGAACTCTTCCATAAGTATATAAACATACTTGTGTATGGGGAATAACATTCTTTAACATGCTTTTCCCCTTTATGCCTTCATAGAATATACTTTTTTAACTGTTGCCACTTTACATTTATGTTATATACCTAGCATACTTTTTTTTAAAGATTTGTTTGTTTGAAAGGCAGGGTTAGAGGCAGAGGTAGAGAGATCTTCCATCCACTAGTTCCCTCCCCAAATGGACACAACTGGAGGAGCTAGGAACTACTTCTGAGTCTCTCATGTGGGCGAAGGGACTCAAGCCTCTGCTTTCCCAAGCGCGTTAGCAGAAAGCTGGATGGGAAGTGGAACAGCCAGGACACTAACCGGTGCCAATGTTGGAGGCCAGCGCTGTAGGCGAAGGCTTTACCGCTATGCCACAGCAACAGCACTGGCATGCTTTTTGTTCTTTGTTGTTTTTGAATATGTATTTACTTATTTGAAAGGCAGAGTTATGGGAGTGGGGGGTGATTTTCATCTACTGGTTTACTTTCCAGAGGCCACAATGGATGGGACTGTGCCAGGCTGAAGCCAGAAGCCAGTGGCTTTATCTGGGTGTCCCACATGGGTGCAGGGGCCCAAGCACTTGGGCCATCTCCCACTGTTTTCCCAGGCACATTAGAAGGGAGCTAGATTGGAAGTGGAGCATGGGGGACTCAAACTGGTGTCCATATGTGAAGCCAGTGTCGCAGGTGGCAGCTTAACCCACTCTGGTCCCTGTTCTTTGCTGTTAACTACCAGTCTTCTCTATAGATAAGCCCTACAAAGGTACATTCACACCCCTACCTTCTTGAAGTCTGGTACAGGGAAGGAGAAGGCCAGAAGCCTATGCAGTGGGGGTGAGGAGATGAAGCTTAGCTTGAAGGCTGGCCAGGGGTACAGCACATCAAAGGTCTTCTTTGGTGAGCAGGATGCTGGGAAATGTTCTTAGGCCAAGATCATGGGTAGAGAACTGGCTGCAAGAGGAGCCATGGCAGATGACAAAGATGGTTGACCACATTGACAGGTGAATGTGGGCAATGGAGGGAAAAACATTGCTGGTTGTCATTATGCAAACTCAGTCCCCTGGACTTTTTAGCGTCCTGCAGCAGGTGCACACCTGCTGCATGAGTCACCCTCCTAAGATACATACCACTTGAAACTTCTTAAGAACTTATCTTCAAGCCGTTCCTATTGAAACAGAAGTAGGAAGTATATTTTGCAGTCTTGGACTTATGTTGCTCTTTTGTATATTTTTTTGTTCTTTGTGGGGAGTTCTCCAAATATTTTACAGTTTACTGAGTATCAGATGAGTATATGTCAAAGAGAAAAGATCAATTTCATATTGTGCTGTTTTTGTAGACAGATGTGATTCAAATCTGCTATTTCATTTGCTAGCCATGTGACATAAGGCAAAATATTGCCTTCTTTATTTCCCTTCGTACAAGATTATTATAGGATGTAATTAGATAGCGTTTCCAAAATAACCTAGGGGCAGATGTTGTGGCACAGTGGGTTAAGGCGTCACTTGGAACACTCACATCGCATGTGGGAGTGCTAGTTGGAGTCCCCCATTCTTGGAAGATGGCCCAGGTACTTGTAGCCCTGCACCCACACGGGACAGCAGGATGGAGCTCCTGGCTTCAGCCTAGCCCAGCCTAGGCCTGGATGCTGCAGCTATTGGGGGAATAAACCTCACAAGTGGTGGCTGTGGTTATTATTATCTGGGAGGTTTTCTGGCCAGACTTTTAAGTTCATCCTGCATCCTTTGAGACCAATAAATCTTGGAATTTTTTCCTATAGAGCTCTTGAATTTCCAGGATTGACTTTCTCCCTTTTCTTCAAATGCTTCCATCACAGGTGCAGCTACCTAAGGAACTGGCATAAACAGTGATGGAGTCAGCTGGAAGAACAAGAAATTGAAATAATGACTCTTGGATTAAGGCCTGGCGACTTCTGGATACAGGTGGCAGAACCGGGAACAAGGCTAATTAACATCTGATGGGGAGAAAATGCGTGAGCCATGGCCGAATAGGAGCTGAAGAGGAAGGGGGAAGGAGATAAAGTACTGATATTCAGGGCAACATTTTCTACTTCTAGTCAGTCTGAATGACTTAAGGAAAATTCGGTCATCCTTCTAGAACTAGAAGTTTAAGAAAATTACTTTGGTAATCATTCGCTTTACCATGACTTTCTTGTGGTTAATAACAATAAATGCGATGGAAGTGTTCACTATTCTATTCTCTTTTCTTCTCTGTCTCCTGTGCTAGAAATGATCACTCCTTGTGATAAAGGGAACAAATCATGTCTCACACTATGGGAAAGCGAAGGGTGGATGGAGCTCCAGGCCCCTCTGATGCTTTGAAATTGTTCATTAGTTCTCCCCTGGACTAGCAGTGATTGCCAGTTCCCGACCCTGCCTGGCTTTCTCCTTCGGCAACTCCTCGGCTGGTTCTGGGGCAGGACACTAGAGCTGGAGGAAAGGGAGAAAATGAAGTGACAGCAGGAAAAGCAATGAGGAAAGTAAACCCTTCAGATAGGCAAAACTTCCTGGCAGTGACTCCCGTACATAGAGAGACAATGGAAGACAGCACAGTTTTGGTAGGAAAAGAAAAAAATTTTAAATAAATAATGTAGTTATTAACAAGCTTTTGGGTTTTTTTGTTTTAACTGAATAGCATACACAGAGTCAGCCTTCTATGTCTGCAGGTTCCACATCCATGGATTTAACCAACTGAATGTTGACAACATTTGAAGAAAAAAAAAAAAAACACCTGCATCTGTACTGATTGTTCACAGATGGTTTTTCTTGTTATTCCGTAAACAATGTAGTATAACATCTGTTAATATAACATTTAGATGGTATTGAATATCCTATCTATAGAACATTGAAATTTTGTGGGAGCATATGCATATACTATATCATTTTATATAAGGGACTGGAAGATCTGTGGATTCTGGTATGCATGGGGGCACCTGGAACCAGTCCCCAAGGATTTCAAGAGATGATTTACTTGTAACTGTGAATCTAATTTCATCTTGTTGCTTTCCTCAAAAGCCTTGTAAAGAAAACCCAGTAACAGGATTAAATTTACATCATCCTAGCCTTCGAGTCTTCCATGGGCTAACACTGGTTAACTCGGTCTTCTCTCCCACAAATTCTCTACACTCCTCTTTTTTTTTTTTTTTTTTGATTTTTTGACAGGCAGAGTGGACAGTGAGAGAGAGAGACAGAGAGAAAGGTCTTCCTTTGCCGTTGGTTCACCCTCCAATGGCCGCTGCGGCCAGCGTGCTGTGGCTGGCTTACCGTGCTGATCCGAAGCCAGGAGCCAGGTGCTTCTCCTGGTCTCCCATGTGGGTGCAGGGCCCAAGCACTTGGGCCATCCTCCACTGCACTCCCGGGCCACAGCAGAGAGCTGGCCTGGAAGAGGGGCAACCGGGACAGAATCCGGTGCCCCGACCGGGACTAGAACCTGGTGTGCCGGCGCCGCAAGGCGGAGGATTAACCTAGTGAGCTGTGGCAGCGGCCTACACTCCTCTTGATAGGACATCTTCATGGACACCCTGTGCTTTGTTGCTGACCCTTCGACAAAGGATTTCCCTCCTGCTCCCCTTTTATCCCACCCAAACCCTCCCAGGGCAGGTCCCCTCTCTTCCACAGAGTCTTCTCCGACAACTCGTACCTGTGTGCTTTCCTCTCAAGTTCCTAGTACCCCTAATTATTCTTCTAATCACCAGATGCATAGACTTTGGGTTTTCTGGTACCAGAAGGGGTGTGAAATGAGGAAATCAAGCTTTGGTGCCTTTTTTTTTTTAACCTGACTGAATGATTGGCACCTGCCTTCTTTCTTTTAAAATAATCAAAAATGGCATGTAACAAATAAAACAGGCTAGTAAAAGATATAATGGGGAAACCAGTGCATTATGTGGAAGGACAAGCTATGGGAAAAAAATATGGTGGTTCTATGTTTTAGAGTGCACAAAAGTATCCAAACTTAAATTTTACATTTCAATCAAATAATTTTAGAATAGCCAACAGGAAGCTTTGTTTTCCTCTTTAATATTTCAATATAAAACATTTTGCATACAAAGCAGGATAGTTAAGAAAGGGCTGCAATATATAAAACTTTTTAAGTGTCTAGCACTTACTATAAATAGGGAGCTCAGATCTGATAGGAAAAAGTGCTCTAAATTATTTGAAAGCTTAATGTATATCAGTAATTGAATTTCTGGAAAGTGCTTCTGCATTTGCTTGTACAGCCACAGTATTAAGGTCAGCAATCTAAAAAGTGCTAATTGTTCTGAAAGAAGATTTCAATCCTTGATATCCAAAAGAAAAGATCGAGTTTCATAGCTTACCGCCTCCATATACAGATTTTGGCAAGAGATGAAGTTCACATTACTCTTCTTCTGTCTGCTACCCTGCCCTGAAGATCTTTGTTGAAGATAATTGACATTTATGTGTTATATTTTTCCATTATTAGCCTTCTGGAATTGATCTCTGGCTATTAGTTATTACAGTGAGTATCTTTTTTTTATTCAAATTGTCAGTTTTTCCAAATTTATGTCAATTAGCAGAATTCACCATGCAGAGAATGGAAGAGGCTAGAATGTGTATATAACCCATGACAGGTTGAAGAAAGAATCCCACTGGAATTCAATTTTATTCTAGCTTCAAATTAATGATCAAAGTTTTGTTAAACAGTATTTGAAACACAAGCTCATAGTGTTTGCTATATGGAACATCCATCATGGCTTACAGGGTTGTCACTGAGTTTTTAATATATTAAAGTGATGTGCATTCAATAAAGTCTCACAAAAAATTACAACTTTGATCAATTTTATTCTTCGCTTTTGGGTAAGGATACAGATTCTAGACCATGTCTGTGAAGTCCTGGTGATAATGATGTGTTAACAGGAAGGCTGTACCTTAGCTGAGAAACAACGATACAAGAAAAATTAAGCACAGCACATACTATTGCTTCTTCATCCTAGGACACACAGAGAGTTTCTTCAGTAAGTACTGATCCAGTTCTCTTCCCAGCTCACCATTAGGGAAACCTAAATGCTTTCCACGCCACCTTTGAAATCACTCAGTGGGTAAGCAAAAATTTTTTATAACCTATTCCTAAACACATAAGAGAAAAAGAGATGAAAGTAATAGAATATATAAACCCATGCTATCTTAATTCTAATGTGTATCTATAAAAGCGTATGGCTGTAACAATTGATGTGTAAAATTCTGACGAACTGCAGAAGCTGGTCATTGTCATTTTTAAGTCTTTTTGCTTGGTCATTTCAAGATGATTTTCAAATTTCAAAGAGCCTATTTTGCTCTCTGAGAGCACAAGAATTAAGAAGATGTAAATTCATTTCCTTCTGGCCAAATGTTCCAGTTAAGAATTAAACAATTTAAAAAAATTTGAAATACTCTTAAACACTTTTTTTCATTATAACAACAAAGTGCTATATAAACCAAACTCATTTCGCTTTATTTATTTTGTCTTTTTTTTAAACAAGTCTGTCAAGAATAATACAGGTAACACAGCTGTAATCTCTGTAAGGAAGAAACCATGAAGTTTGCAACGAGTACAGGCTGGAGAAAAACATATGACTAGCATTTCAAAAATTTACAAAACTTTAACAAAATATTCTAGACAGCTATCTTTATATTTGTAAACAAAGTATAAACAACTGGTTTCTCCAGTTTCCACTGCACGTCAAACAGGAGGCCAAGTGATAGAGATCATCTTTGATTTTAAAAGAATAATAATAAAAACTCAGCTAATTTATACCCCACACATGAGAATCCTAGGGAATTTTCCGGGGAGGGATTAGCTCAAGGGGATTTGATACAAGCTCACGCGTGGCATTATCTACTTCAACAGCCTTTCATGTACTCCTATGGCCTTGATATTTTACAACTACTTTCTCCCCTGCAAGATAGCAGTATTGTTGCTGTGGAATCCCTAATTCTTTTACTCCTCTCAAGAAATAGTCATGAGCCATTTCCTACCAGTTTGCATAAACAAACTTGAAACTCTGGACGTGCTGGGCAGGGTGGGGAGTGTTTTCTTTCAGTTTTTGAGGCCTTTCCTCTGTAACACCAGAGCTGTTAACGGCTGGGCCTACACATGCATGCTGCCATAGGTAGTTGGGTGTGCGTGTGCCTCCTATTTCAAAAACACAAACAGAAAGTGGGTCTGGTCAAGGGTGAATGGTAACTCTATTTCTGCTGCCACCCTATCACCAGAGAAGCTACCATTTACTCCTTCACTTTGCTGATGTACTCAGTGAATTTGTTGATGTTGTCTTCCTGCTGTTCTAGGGCATCCAGGACAATGCCCATGGGTGTCCTCTTCAGCCCTATGCCTTCCATTTTATTCTCCAGCTTGTTCTTGAGATTCCGAAGTCTCAGCGAGGCATGGATGAACATCACTGCAGAGAAGTGACACACGGTTAGCACCAAAGCAGCGACTCCCATTCGCCACATCGACATTACTCCCTCTCTTCCCACTTGAAGTAAACTATCTTGGTTAGCTGCAGTCCAATCTGATTCCCTCATCGATCCAGGCTCTCAAATATTTCCTGTCCAGCTCTTTGTTGAGTCACACATAGCTTTCCTATGTGTGATGGAAAACCCTGTGTTGAGCAGGAAGGACCATCGCCTCTCAGCCACATTCCTTCCTGAATACGCTGACGTCAGCACCTTGCACGGCCATGCTTCTTAGAGACCCTGAAATTCAAAGTGAATCAATGTCCTTCCAACCCACACAGAAATGGATGCACCCAAGGTCTTCCAGAAAGGAACTCCTGCTCAATTCAGGGACTATCTGTATTTTGTTCTTTGCAGAAGGCAGGAGGGTGAAGGCTACAAGCAGGCTACCTCCTAAGAGCCAGTTTTCCAAAGTGGTGCATGTATTTCTAGATTTTACAAAACCTAAAGGTTTTCTAGCGCTTACATGGCCCGTTGCTGCTCAAATTTGTTTGAATTCCTAGTTTGTTGATTAACAGATTCCTTTGCCCCTCTCCAAGACTTCCTGAGCCAGAATCTTAAGGACTCGGGCCAGGGTGTCTACTGTAAACAAGCTGTGCCCCATCCCCACCCCATGTAATTTACACCAGTGGCTTTTCAGCTTCCATGTAAATCCAAATAACCCAGACCGCCTGATAAATGGAGAAGACCCCCGTCTCCACCACCCAAGATTCAGACTGAGACTAGGGTATGGTTCTAAGAATCTGCCATGTTGACAGTCCCTGTGGATGATTCTATGCAGGTAGATCTTGAACCCTTATTTTGACAGATACTGAAGTGGATTATCTCTGGAGGTTCCCAGCCTAGATGTCATCAGAAACATCCAAGGAGCTTTCTAAAAACACAGGGCCTTTGGGTACCACTGTTGCACAGAATCAAGATCCCCAAGGGATGTGCCTGGGAAGCTGATATTGTAAAAATCCACCCTGATGACTGTCACGATTATCAAAGCTTGGGAATCACTGCTTGTATGTCATTTCCTTATGTGATAGATGAGTAATCTCAGTCCATCAGAGATGACTGGTTCAAATCACCTTCTGGTTTCCAGAAGATCAGGAAAGAGAGGTCAGGACCCTAGACTCACTGCCTGTCATACATTCCATTTCCCTGGCCTGTCTCAGGCTGTGATGTGGAGAGAGACCAACGTTAACAAGCAGAATGTTTAAACAGAATCACTGAAATACTAAACTCATGGCACATGAGAACAACTTGAACAAATTTCAAGTGTGACTTCACTGATTCAAGTATTTTCTTCAGCAAGGTATGCAATTCATAAAGTTCTGAGCTTAATCTAACAAAATTCCAATGAATATTTAATAGAATAAATGCACTTGTGAAATGCAACAAATTAAAGAAACGTTCTTGACCCCAGAATTTTAATTGGATTTCTGCTGATGAGACAGGGATTTTATGAGTATTTGTTCTTGATTTCAGGCTTCAAGTATTTGGGGTCTTAGTAAATAATCCATTCATAATTTAGAAAATATTGAGTTCTCTCTGCCAGCATCCAAGTATTTGGCATGCATATTTGGGCCAGTCAATCCCACAGACTTTTACCAAACTTTTGAAACTAATTATGATCTTCTAAGCAAGTAGAGAGCAAATAGTTCCAAGTGACAAATGGATTGTTTCCTGTATCGGGACAATCAAGCTGTCACGTACAAGATCACAAGCAGACTCCAGTATCAGAAAGAGCTGGAGTTCAGTGAAGGCAATGCCATGTTCCTGCCGTATGACTTGGGATTTATATGTGTTTGTTTATTGTTGTGCCCTCATAAGAGTGTCCAGCAAATACTTCTGAAATTAATGAACTGGGTTAATGCCCTGGCCTGAAGTGCCGGCATCCCATATGGGCGCCGGTTCTAGTCCCGGCTGCTCCACTTCCGATCCAGCTCTCTGCTATGGCCTGGGAAAGCAGTAGAAGATGGCCCAAGTCTTTGGGCCCCTGCACCTGCGTGGGAGACCTGGAAGAAGCTCCTGGCTACTGGCTTTGGATTGGTGCAGCTCCGGCCATTGCAGCCATCTGGGGAGTGAACCAGCGGATGGAGGACCTCCCTCCCACCCTACCTCTCTCTCTCTCTCTCTCTGCCTCTCCTCTCTCTGTGTAATTCTGACTTTCAAATAAATAAATAAACCTTATAAAAAAAGAAATTAATGAACTATTAGGTCTTGATCTGCTGTTTTAGAAGATTCTGAACTTTTATCGACATGCCAGCACATATAAGATGTATATAATTCCCACTGGACACTTGCTACTTGCTCCAACACCTGTCTTAACAATGTGTGAAAAAGAAAACTCAGGTTCACTTACACAGCAAAGGGAAAGTGATGCCGAACACAAAGACCATGACGCCGCCAAACATGGATATGAGGAAGTAGCTAGCCAGCATGACCACCATCACGAAAGTCGTGGGGTACTGCTTCTTCATCCGGCGGAGGATGTCTTTGTTGTGGGCTGCCCACACAAACCCCGTGAACACCAGCACCACCACGATTCCCCCGAGGATCATGTTGAAGGGGCTCAGAAACCTGCAATGCAAAAGAGAAGGAGACTGGCTCAGCAGGGGGGAGCAGATATTGGAAGGGGAGGAAAGACAAGGATTGAGTGCTAACTGAGCACTTTGGGTTGTCTCATTTGACCCCCACAACTACCTGTCTGAGATGCCACTCATACTTCACATGAAGAAACTTAGGCATAGAGGTGAGAAAATGGTGGTGCTCAGCTCACACGAGGCACAAAACGAGTCAGGTCATCCTAACGAGAGGCCCACAATTTTGAGGATTACAGCTGCTTTTGCAGTGGTTGTGCGTAGCGTTCATATACCCTGGACTCTGGTATGCACACAGTACGTTGTATTTCAGTAGCTCTTCAGGAGTATTTCAAGCCTCATTGAAGCTTGCTTGATAGATAAATATAGAATAGAGGGCTTGATGTGCTAGATCCAGTTGAAATTCACATTTCATTTGTCCTGGTAAGATTTTTTTTTTTAAACTTTTACTTGATTCTCATGTTGTAGGAAAAAAAAAAAAAAAAAAAAAAAAACAACCACCAGAAAACATGGGGTTTCTTGCCTCACCTGGAACAAGACAATTTAGCAACACTAGACCCGTTTTCCTACATGTCAACACCTGGGTGAAGTATCTTCTCAATCCGATAGAATAAATGCTCTCTATTTAGCCTCAGTTCTCACCACTCTCTCCTGCATCCTTGACAAAGCCCAAAGTGAGCAGCCATTAGGAATTGTTTTCCTGGGGCCGGGGCTGTGGCAGGTTAACGCCCTGGCCTGAAGCATCAGCATCCCATATAAGCACCGGTTCAAGACCCGGCTGCTCCACTTCCAATCCCGCTCTCAGCTATGGCCTGGGAAAGCAGTAGAAAATGGCCCAAGTCCTTGGGCCCCTGCACCCACGTGGGAGACCTGGAAGAAGCTCCTGGCTCCTGGCTCCTAGCTTCGGACCGGCGCAGCTCCAGCCATTGCAGCCAATTGAGGAGTGAACCATCAGATGGAAGACTCTCTCTCTCTTTCTCTCTCTCTGCCTCTCCTCTCTGTGTAACTCTTTCAAATAAATAAATAAATCTTAAAAAAAAAAAAAAAAAAGAATAGTTTTCCTAAGAGCTGGCCCGAATCACTCTCTTGTATCACCTGCCTGCTCCATGGAGGCATTTGAATGGATGAATAGAGGGCACATTATACACTTTTCTAAAGGCTCAAAGTATCATTAGGAGATTAATGGAGATTTCCGAGCACTTCAGAGCCAAAGGTCTTTATTGCATGAGAGCAATTACACTATCCTTGGTAATGGAGGGAACATACCAGGAAGAAGAAATGTAGACCAAGTATTTTATAAATGAAAATGACTGGGCATTGTAGTCCCCACCTTAACTCACTGTGTGTTCAAAACAGCTAACAAGGTATTTGCAGAATGGAAGTAGAATGAGTTGCTAACTTTTTACCCTAGAGGTTAACAGATTTTTTTTTTCTCATGAAGGATGAGGTGCTTGTATCATGCACTAAGTATCAACACAACTGACCTGAAAATGAGGAATGGGGGAAGACAGAATGCAGAAAGGTGAGGTAAGAGCTTACTTTTTCTGTATTGGGACAAACGAAGGACTCATACTTGAATTGATTTTTAACATAACCACAGTTCTTTTAAAAAAATCCTCTAAATTTTAGCTCTGATTCTGTCTACTGAAACACATAAGCTATTTTCAATAGTTTTAAATTAAGAGAACATTTTTCACACCTTACTGAGTGAAATCAAGGAATATAATTAATGTCAAATTGCTTTGAAAAAGTAAAAAAAGAAAAAGATTCTATTGAAAAGCACAGAATTGGGTGTCGGTACTTTGGCACAGTGGGCCAAGCCACTGCCTGCATCCCATGTGGACCCCACTTCAAGTCCCAGCTGTTCCACTTCGGATTCAGCTCCTGGATTCAGCTGCCTGGGAAAGCAAGTGCTTGGGCCCCCCCACACATGTGGGAGACACAGAAGAAGCTCCTGGCTCAGGTCTGGCTCAGCTCTAACTATTTCAGGCATTTGGAGAGTGAACCAGTGGATGAAGATCTCTATCTCTATCTCTCTCGCTCGCTCCCTCTCTCCCTCTGTAATCCTGCCTCTCCAACAAAGAAATCTTTTTTAATTTTTTTTAAAAAAGCACAGAATTGAGTAACAATGGTAAGAGTATAAGTAAATAGTGGAAAAAGTAGTAGAACTAAACCTTACAATAAAGTGCTTATTTCATTCAAAACATTTGCAAATAAATATGTACATTCTTCAAGCCAGTAAACCCCTCCTCTGAATAAGACTAAGGAAATAAATAAAAATGCAAATATAGAGTTGTTACAGTATTTATGTCAGTGGTATTTATGATGACAAATTCTTAGAAACAACCTAGATGGTCAGCAACTTACAAATATAACCCCCAGATTAATTTGGGAAAGAAAGATATCTTTATAGGCCTGATGAAGAAAAAAATCAGGGCAAAACCAAAATCCTCTGGGCTAGCATCCCAGATGAGCACCAGTTTGTGTCCAGGCTGTTCCACTTCTGATCCAGCTCCCTGCTAATGCATCTGGGAAAGCAATGGGAGCTGGCTCAAGTGCTTGGGCCCCTGCACCCATAGGGAGACCCAGAAGAAACTCCTGGCTTTGGGTTGGCCCAGTCCTGGCCATTGTGGCCATCTTGAGAATGGATGGAAGATCTCTTTGTGTCTGTCATTCTTTCTCTGTAACTCTTTCTAAATAAATAAATCTTGAAGAGAGAACAAAAAAAATATCACCCAAAATCCTCTTTGGCAGGTGGTAAGGAGACAGAATGGAGAGGCCAGAAACTCTTCAAGGTTAATAAATCTCATTCCTAGTACCAAAAAATTCTGAGAGAAATTATACCAAAGACTCTACTAGTTAGTCTAGGTGCTTTATTCCATTTGCTTCTTTCTATTTTCTTATTTTTTTCAATAGCCACATATTACTTGAATTAAAAAAAAACTTTAAAAATGAATACATAAATTCAGGGAAATGAGCATGAAAGAAACAAACTCCTTCACCAAGTTTTTTTTTTTTTTTTTTTCCACCAAGTCTTGACTTTGACCTATCACCCACCCAAACATTCCTGAGCCATACAGCAAAGCAAAGATCGACATTCATACAAAGAACTAGAATGGAGGATTCAGGTCTGAGGAAGCTGCACAAGCCATAAAAAGATGACTGGTTGCCAGCAAAGCACCAATGGTCACTTCCTCTGTTCTCTCTAGCATACTTATTAAAAATAATTCATGAAATGAAGCTTATAATCAATCCATGTTGAGTTTTTTTTTCTTTTTTTTTTCCTATTTTCCTCTGGACAAGTAAAGTAGACATCCATGTTGAATGTCTAAATAAAGCCCAGGGCAAAGAACAATGAAAAACCCAGGCCTGACGAGCAATTCCAAATTTGCTTTTCACCTGTTCCTGTGGCTCATGTTCAAGGGAAAGGGACAGGGCAAGGAGTCCTATAGAACTGGTTTTGGTTTACAACGCCCAGCACAAGCTATAATTAGAAAGTAGCCAAGTTTCCAAGCTGGCAAAAACAACTAACAAAGTTCCTGATAGCAGAAATAATAGCTTTCTCCATGTTCTGATTACGAACAATTCCATTCTGAGAAGCAAGAAAACGCATAGTGCTGCACTGCCCTGGCAGCCACCAGAACATGGAGCCAAATGAGACACACACACACACACACACACACACACAGAAAGAGAGAGAGAGAGAGAGAGAGAGAGAGAGATTAATTTCGTTCTCTAGTGAGTGCAGGAATTTGGGAACCAGTTCTTGTCCAAGATGCTTTTTAGTCAACGGCTGGGCTGGTTGTCACACCAGTCAGGATAAACCCCAAGAAGGTTTAAGACAAGACTTTCCAAAAATATGCTACCCATCCTTCATGTGGACAACTGCCGCTGGGCTCTGCTGGGTGGAGTTTCGCTCACTGGCAGTTGTAAGAGAGAGGGAGAGAGATTGATCATTTGATGTTTCTGTCCTTGGTGTAGGACCTAGTTTTGTAAATCAAAAATATTAAATGTCCTTTTATTAGGGATACAATATTTACGTGTAATATGACCCGATTCCAAGAAACAATCCATTTTTCCTGATATAGTTAAAAATTCTAGTAGAGTCATTTATGGTTGTGAAAAGGTTTAGAGGGGTTACAGGCATCGTGGCACAGCGGGTTAAGCTGCCACTCGGAAGCCCATATAAGAGTACTTGATTCAAGTCCTGGCCACCTGGCTTCTGATCCAGCTTTCTGCTAAATGTGCCTCAGCAGGCAGCAGATGGTGACTCAAGTAGTTGAGTCCCTGCCACTGATGTGGGAGACCTGGATAGAGTTCCAGGCTCCAGCTCCCGGCTTCAGTCTGGTCTAGCTCTGACTCTTGCAAGCATTTGGGGAGTGACCAGTGGATGGAAGATCTGTCTGTTTATCTGTCTGTCTCCCTCTTTTTCTGTCACTCATGTCTTTCAAATAAACAAACCTGTTTTAAAAAAACAAAGATTTAGAATCCCCTTATAGAATTTCGTAGTAGCATCTTCAAAGGTGAGTGAGTCCAGGCCCATTATGCAGATGAATAAATTGAGGCCCAGAAATGTGAGAAACATATCCAAGGAAACCATGGGAGAAAGAGGGAGAGGGGATCACAGACTCTCAGAGCTAGGAGCTTCAGAAACATGGAACTGTGTGTTACGAAAAAAAAAAGTTCATGGTCTCCAAATTTTTTTTTGCATCAAAATAAACTTCTCTTTTAATTCCATTTCCCATGAACTAAAAAAATATTGTTTGAAAGGCAGAGAGAGAGAGAGAGAGAGAGAGAGAGAAAGAGAGAAAGAAAGAGAGCTTTTATCTGCTAGTTCATTCCCTAAATGCCCACACAGCAAGCACTGAACCAGGCCAAAGCCAGGAACCAGCAACTCAGTCCAGGCCTCTCACGTGGGTGGCAGTGACCCAATTCCTTGAGCCATCACTGCTGCCCCCCAGGGTTTGTATTTGCAGTAAA